GATTTCAGATTATTGCAAAAGTCTGTGAGCTCAGTGTGGTGTGGTGTCAGTGTGATTGACCTTCTCAGACTTCCAGGCTTGGTTCTTTGTATATTCTGCATCTACCAGCTCTGGAGCTTCTCTGGACAGAAGGATGAGAGGGTCGCGCTCAGGGCTGGTTCTACCAAAGAAAGAGCACAGTCCAGAAGACATGATTTAGGGTCCTACAGCTAGCTACACATATGATGTAAATGTATATGAAAAGAAAAAGAATAAAAAGAATTTCCATAGAGAGTTACACAAAGTAAACATCTTCACAACACTGACCTGGAACCTCTGAAAAATCCTTTAGACTCTTTCTTCTTCCATGGCCACTGTGCTGCAGATCTAAAACACAACACATTATTAGCAGTAGTATTATTAGAAATGTTGTACTTTAACATCAACATTTTTTATTTAATATAGAACAAAGTGGAGATATTCTTTTAATAAGGATATGAAAAAGGACCACCTAAATGAATTCAAAGTATGGAGAACAACAGGAACAGCTCATGATCCGAGCCATACCACATCATTGTCAAACACGGTGGGAACATTGTGATGTCATCAGTATGGCTACCAGTGGAACACTAGTGTTCATTGATGGGACTGCTGACAGGAGCAGCAGGATTCCTCCAAATGCTGGAATATTATTATATTTAAGATTATGGTAGTTTGTCCAATTCACTTTGAGCTTCAAAAAATGCGGGACTGTGTATAAAAGTGACCGTAATTTCTAAATTACATTTCTTCAGTGCACATAATTGGACAATGGTCCAAACTGTACGTTCACTAGTCAGCTCCTCTCCTCACTAAAGTGCAAACCTTACTTTTTAAGGTCATCCCTCATCAGATCCCATCTTCCCAGTCCGGTGGGGTAAATGGGCCACACAGCAGGTCCGCCTTCCCAAAATGTCCATGCTGGGTACATGATGTCGTTGTAGTCTGAGGTCTACTTAAAAAACAAACATCCACATTTCAAGAACACTTACTGCACTTAATAATAGTAATAATACATCCACGTGTGCCTCAAAAATACTGCCCACATTCTGACCTTACTGAAAGAGAAGACTGGCAGGGTTGGCTGCACCCAGTGGGGGACTTGAGGGTAATCTCTCACATTTACAACCATCTCTAAGTCAGGCAGCTTGTCAATCACCTCCAGTATGAAGTGCTCCACCCCACTGCACCTGAAAACAGGGAAGTGGCCCACATCATGTCATGGATACAACTACCTGATGTTCAGACAAGTAACAATGACTTGTATCTGATCAATTTCTAAAAATCACACCAGGTCCTGCTTTACCTAGCAGGGAACATGCAGTTTTGCTCCCTGTACAGCTTGTGCCCAATGATCTGGTAGTGGGTTCCCACTCCTCTCTGAACCGTAGCAGCCATGACATCCTGTGAAATCCCCCCTTTAAAGGTCTGCAAACCATGCTGTAGGACACTGAGACAGACGGCAAAGTTCATATTATGCTTTAACTTACACAATGGGAATGAAGCAGTAAACATGCATGTGATCAGTATGTCAGATACTATACGTAGATCTGACACTTATTTCATAATAAAGAGGTTTCTAACAGAATGATCTTTTGCCTGGATTCAGTTCATATGCAAGAAAGATAAAGTGCACCAACCTTAGGTGGCAGCTGCAGTTGACAGATTCACATGGAGTGTACCCTTTAACAGTATCCGATATCCTTTCTTTAATTTTCTTCCACTGGTTGCCTGCAACATCACATATAAATGGGGATTTTGCTATTTTGTATCACATTTAATAGAGTCAAAATCATTCAGTAGGTCACAAAAGAGCCCAGCATCTAAAAAGACCTGCAGGCCTCACTTGACTCAGTTAAAGTCAGTGTTCTTGATTCAACGGGAAGAAAGCGAGTGGGCAGAAATGGCTCATTGCTGTAATTGACGGAACCATGAATTCTGCTCTCTACCAAAAGATCCTGAGTGAAAATGTCTGGCTGAAGCACACCTATGCAGCAGGACAATTATCCAGTACACACCAGGAAGCAGGAAGTGTTGTTTGCCAGTCAGCCAACAAAGGAAATATTTAGGGAAGAACAGACGTGTTATTTTTAATGTATTGTATCTAACCAGATTCGCAGCTGCCTGTGTGCCCTTTTTGTTTTCAGTCGCGTTTACTAATAACAGTTCAGATGTTCATTATTAATTAAAAAAAAAATCTACAACACAGATTTGTGTGATATTCAATTTGAAGAAACTTTGAAATATGAGTGGACACCTTGATTGTGCTGTTAAAGTTTGCAGCATATTACAGTCTTAGGCTTTATAAGGGCTTTACAAGGGGCTGAGAGCTTACTTTTGAGCTTCCCTTTGCTTAAGCCAGAGCATTTGCACAATCCGTTAAAAGAGACAACACACGTCGATGGAGTCTAAAGAACAAGGGGAAACCTACACGCGCGGCTTTTTCGCAGTTTGCAAGTTGCTAATTTACATAGAATCAATGTATTTGTGTAGGTTAGGTTTTTTAGAGCAAGCAGACCATACAGGTTAACACCACTTCAAGTAACTCCTGCACGAAAAACACTCTGTCATGTAATGGCTCGACTATAAATTATCGTACTGAATGTGAGTGAAAGAGCTAACTCTTACCCATCATTCATACCAACCTAAAAGTTAGCTGCTGGGCTAGTTAGCTAACACCGGTGAATTGATGGTTGCCTGTAGCCAACTTTAAGTCATCTTAAAGAGCGACGGACAAATAAAAGCTCGCTAGTTCTTTTTTTTTTTTTAACACATTCAAAAGGCGTAGGTGTTTAAAAATAGATTACCTGAAGCACCGGCCAAACACGCGTGAAAAACTTGCACTACTATTAAAATCCTCCACAACCAAAACCACTCCATTTCCCCTCTATCCTCCAGCTTTGTCTGACGAGGAGAATCTGTGCCGCTGTTATCTGCGGTCCGCTACTTCTGGCTGGGTTACAGTCATTACGGTAATGCTCGCAGTGAAATTCATTTGTTCGTTACCGTAAAGCTTAAAACACTGAGGGATTGTTGGTCTCACATCTTATATATATATATCTATATATCTATATATAGATATATATATATATATATAGATATAGATATATATATATATATATTAGAAAGTTATTTACAACATAAGGCATGAGTTTCAAATGTACAAACACTGCCACATAGGTAATGACGTTACTGATTTAGTGGTTGATGAAATCACGAGTTTATTTCAAGGGCATGAACAGCATCCTCATGAATTATTATCCTTCAAATGTGCTCAATATAATGAGTTTCTCCATCACAGAGAGAAAAGGAGGAGGAAAGAGACCCTCCTGAGATTTGGGCAGTAAGTGACAGAGAGAGGAAGAGACAGAAGACAGGTGGAGAGGGAGAGCTATCAAAAGAGGGCAATAAAAAGAAGCAGGGGGTCCAGTGAAATATTAGACAGAGTATTTCAGATTTGCTGGAGATATAATAGAGATCCAATCTGTGGATGAATTGCAGATCTCATTCATAGCCAATTTCTTCAAGTTTTGTCTTGAGAGGATCTTGGATTTTTATTTTGTATTTTTTTGCAAACACATCCACAGCTGAACAAAAATGCAACACATGTGGCTCTCTCTTCTATCTGGCCTCTGCCTTAACCTGGTTTTCCTTTGCAGTGCCGAGGAAGGTCTAGAGTTCCCCAATTTTGACGGGAAAGACAGGGTGGTGGACATCAATGAGCGCAACTACAAAAAGGCTCTGAAGAGATATGACCTGCTGTGCCTGTTCTACCACGAACCTCTGCCGGCCAACAAGGGTCTTCAGAAGAGGTTCCAGATGACAGAGCTGGTGCTGGAGGTGAGAAACTGGTTGAGGTGGGAAGAGGTGAGACAGTATGTGTCACAGACTGCAGGGCAAGTGGGTCGGTGATGATATTCATTGTGTGTTATAAAATGGAGTTAACTGTGAAAGGAAAGTGAGAAATGTGGAAGTATAATGATGTAATCTACTTTTTTATAGAGGCTTTTTTTTCACGTTTTGATAAGCATTAAACAGAAAGGCTAACTCATGTGGTTCAGGCGTTAATGCTCCATAAAGATTTCTTTCTGATGATGAATTATAACATAAAGTGCCTTCTCTGCTTGAAAAATTAGATTTGGGAGAAGCAGTTATTGGGATTGCTGATTCGTTTTGTGTCTATTGACCAGTTGCTTTGTGGTAAAAAATCACATTTCCAGAAGCCTTAGCAGTACTTAGCATTCTAACATACTAAACATATTGCCTATGAGGATGATGGTATTTGTATTTAGGCCAAAGACCAATATAGAGCCTCACACATTAGCTCTGTAGCTTTAGACCACGTTGGATAGGCAAAAAAAATATATCCCAAAGTGAATGTTAATCCCTGTTAACCCTATTCCTGACTCTAAGGGGGTCACTAGCGATCTGCTGGATGTTACTATCATGAACCTTCATAAACAATGAACTGGTTTTAAAAACTCTTTGCAAAATTCATTGCTCCTGAGTTTTTCAGGTTTGCAAATACCTGGAAGCTATGGGAAATGTATCACCACTGATCAAAGAAGACACGAGGAAATGAGAGATGGATCTGTTGTGGCATACCGGATGCTGAGCTATAGCTCAAATCCCTGCAGATTACATTCTGCCATGCAAACTTGTCACAAGTAGTCACTGATACTTCAGACATGTTGCCCCATGTTTCCTCTGTCTTCTTGAAGTATAGACTCTCTCCTTAGACTGGGTCTATGTTTTACCTGTGCACACTCTTAACTGGCAAGCAGTCCTTTTAATCCCATTTTGTGCTCTCCACTGTGGTTTACATATATCCAGGGATTGTTTCTAGGTCATTTTGTTAATTATAGCTTGTTCCCAATTCTCTTTACTATCTTCCTTTGAACTAGAAATCAGAAGATTTGCTCTCACACTCCTTTCCTTCTCATCTTGGAGGCATTTTTTATTTGTTAGTATTCACCTTTGGCAACATTTTCAGTTTTACATTTCTGTCATGTTTCGTGCACTCTTGGAAAGCAGAAATACACAAACTAAACCCCCTCCTCAGTGGTTTTCTAAATCTGTTATCCTTCCTCAACAACTGCAAGCTGAAAGGCAAGCAGTCCTGACTCACAGCTTCCTTCTAACAAGAAAAGTCCACAGGGGGCTCTCAGTACACAGACATCTCGGTAATGAAAAGATGTATTGACGAAGACGGCTGCAGCTGTGGATGTCGGCTCAAGTACACAGCATAGAAGTCAGAGCTAAATCAAAGCGCTGAGCAGAGGGTGTTCACACCAGTGTTTCTTATCTCAAGGTTTACTTACCAGGTGGTTTTAGTCCACACATGTCCACACTGTACAGTTTTTTTTAAAAGTCAAATAAAAAGTCACCAACTATTATTTAATTTACCAGCTATGCTCTTGCGTCTTGCTCCCAGTTGCCAACACTGGTGTTTTACTGCACCTATTTCAGTGTCGAAGCCCCTAAACTGGCTAAAAGCCTCCCACCAAGAGCCGAGAGGAAGTACTCTCTGGCTACAACAATATCCTGAAGGTCACTATGAAACTTGACCAAGATTTGTACTTAATATTGACCTAAACCATAATCTTTTCCTAACCTAAATAACAAGGTTTAAATCCCAATCTGCTGCTGTTAGTATGGCTGAGGGTGTCACCTGTGTTTGTTTGTATATGCATAACTTCTTACCAATCGCGATGGTGACCTCTGTGATTTTAGAAAAGAGACAACATTTAGAACACGATGAAGAGATTTTAGAACATGAGGTATTTTGCCGTTACTGGATAGGACAGTGCAGAAAGTAGACAGGAAGCTGGAGAGAAAGTGAGGGGGATGACATACAGGAAACAGTCTGGGACAGACGAGTAGGCCTGGGTTTGACGAGCTGCTCAACCAGGTGAGCTATAGCAGCACTCTCAAGTCAGAATGTGGCAGGTGAGTTTGAAGATGAGGATGAGACAATCAGCTTCCAAACAATGGTCCATCCTGTATGACTGCCAACTTGGTGCAACAAGGCCCGACACAAATAGTGAACATTAAATCTCATTTTTAACGTTTCATCCTAGATGCCACAAGGTGATTAGGTGATGTTCCTGATCTAGGTTTTTTTTTTAAGTGTGTTTTATACAGTATTTTAATAGAGTCACAATACTGAATGAGTTGTTGTTCTTGAACACAGCTTACAGCTCAAGTCCTGGAGAACAAAGACATCGGTTTTGGAATGGTGGACTCCCAGAAGGATGTCAAAGTGGCCAAGAAACTGGGTATGTACTGCATCTGTGTTGCTCTTGGCTTATCCACTCATATGGTTTTCTTATACCATTTTACTAGTAATGTATTGTTTTGAAAGTGTTGGATCTGTTGTCTAAATAGGACTGGAGGAGGTGGGCAGCTTGTACGTGTTCAAGGACGACCGTGTGATTGAGTTTGACGGGGAGCTCTCAGCAGACACTCTGGTGGAGTTCCTGTTGGACGTGAGCAGTAAAATCTGATGCTTTTCAGACGGCAGTTACGTTACCCACAAAAACAATCAATCTTCAGCCTCGTTAATTAGTTGAATGCCTAACATATCACAACTGCAACATCAATAAGCTCTTCAACAACACACATTTTACTAACCGTCATGTGTACCTCATATAAAAAATGCACTGTAAACTAAGTTATCAGGAAAGTTAAGGCCGCGACACAACTGCTACAGGTCCCTTTTGATTACAGTTAAATCTCATATACTTTTGATGATCTAACTGATTTTTCATTCACATTTCCCACAGGCTAAGATAAATTACCATAATATTAAAAGTAATGAGTTAATATAAAACTCCCTTTTACTCAACGTTGTTGGAGTTCTTTTTGTAAACATAAGAAGGTTCTGCCTTACTTTTGTTGTGCAAAAGTTTAGTGGAGACAGATTAAAGTTTGCAGAACTCACTAAGAAGCCTGTGCTGTCTACTCAGGCTAAGCAATAGCTTAACAAGCCCCTTCACTCATGGCATCACAGCTTCTATCTATCTAATATGGATCAAATATCTATTATGCACATTTAGGTCGACGCACTAATAATTTTGCCAAGTAATAGCATCTTAGTCAAATCTATACGCTCTGGAATCCTACAGCTTTTTCTTCTAATATCATAGCATCCACTCAGTAAGCTGTATTATTAAAAGACAAGTGCGAGCTAGAGCTGACTAATAGATTTCCTTTGGTTTGTGCTTTTACTGCTCTTCCTGCAGGCTTTTTTTTTACACTCTTTATTACTGTATGTGCAATATTCTCTACATTAATTCAGTCCTATTGACTATCAGCACATGCACACATTCACATTTAAACAATGCAACTGACGACAGAGAAATGTTACCTTTAAGAGGTGATTACTTAATCCTCAAAATAGTGCAATTTATTAAAAAAACAAGAACTCCAATTTAGAAATATGAAAACTTAAATATTTTTAATTAATTTGAGTGTTTGGGTTTACACGGCATATTGCACACGATATTTATTTTAAAAGAACAGTGAATAGGGCCTTAATTGGGCCCCTGGTTCCTGATACATTTACTTCATTTTTATCTAAACTACACACTTTAAAGTTTTTAGGACTGCATCATGCACAAGTTCGGCATTATTGCTTTGCATTGATTATTGACTGACATGTATATGCCTTCCAAGGTAGGTTTAGCGCAACAGTTACTTAACAGTTAGGTAACAGTACCCTGTATTTCAACTCTGTTAGGTGGATTATATTACCATGGCATGAGCCAAGCTAGCTGTTTGCTATCTTCAGTGCTAATGCTAAGCTAATCAAAGCTGCATGTAATTATGAGTCCACATTAAACAAAAGTGTATGAGACTGGAACTGATCCAACTATACCAAACTGATTAAGTTACCTAAATAATGACTAACATGTTTTCCTTCTGTGTTATACTGCTCCTTAGGTGCTGGAGGACCCAGTAGAGATGATCAATAATGCCATGGAGGTGCGAGCCTTTGAGAGGATGGAGGAAGACATCCGCCTCATTGGTTATTTCAAAGGAGAAGATTCATGTTAGTTTAGCATCAAACTCATATGTCAATATAATAATAACAATAATAATAATAATGGATTGTATTTATATAGCGCTTTTCGAGACCCTCGAAGCGCTTTACAATTCTACTATTCATTCACTCTCACATTCACACACTGGTGGAGGCAAGCTACAGTTGTAGCCACAGCTGCCCTGGGGCAGACTGACAGAAGCGAGGCTGCCATATCGCGCCATCAGCCCCTCTGGCCAAATATATCTACATTTAAACAAGAGCAGTTCTAAAGGAATTTAGAAAGGCTAGGAGTGTATGGTTGCACCTATACTTACACTCTTTCAGTATACCATAAAGGTGTTTTATTGTGCTTCAGAGATGTTAATGGACTATAGAGGTTGATGGAGATATATTTCGTATAGCCTTACTGGCTGCTAAATGAAAACCTGATTCTAGACTTTGCTAGTCTCACTCAGTCTCATGACAGCCTTTAAATAGCTTCTGGCTCCTCGTCTAATAGGTCAAACTGTAATTATAGTTCTTCTCACAAAAAAAGGAGAAATGTGAGGCAGGGAAGATACTATCTGGCCAATACGACAGTGGCACAAATTTTCATTATGAAGCCTATTTCTGTCCAGATATAGGTCGGTCCCTGGCGGTGACCTTGTTGGGAAGAGAACTAGGATCGTGTTACAAGTGTATAAAACTGTATTAAGGGAAAGTTGGTTACTGGGATGAAGATACCAGAATCTGATGAGAAATTGAATGAAGACACTGCCTTTCTTTTCTTGCCTTTCTCATCACACCATCACTATAGAATGTCACTGCTGAACTTCAGCTTTTGTTCCTGTCAATCTCTCTCAAATTTATTTCCAGCTCTCATTTTTGTTTTTGTTTTTTAGATTTCAAGGCTTTCCAGGAAGCCTCAGAGCGGTTTCAGCCTTACATCAAGTTTTTTGCTACATTTGATAAATCTGTAAGTCTTAACAGAAAATATACTACACTGTACTTTGTTTTACAGTAACATGCACCATAATTACTTAAAACACGCTAACCATAATAAATTAGAATATAGACTTAATTAAATGCAACTTATATTAATTTCTGTGTGTAAATAACAAGTAGCTTGTTAGCTTACTTTTGCCATGTAAGCAAAAAGCTAACATGGCTATATTCAAATGCATCAAAGTCTAGCTGCTAGCAGCTCTGAAATTCACTATTTAGCATGCTACATAGCATGTCACCTGTTGTTTAAAGTATGTAAATTAATGTTAGTGTTTGTTTTTTGTTAAATCTGATCTCTTAGGCTAGCTGTTTCCAGTCTTTATCTTCACATCGCTCCTCAAATATACGTTTCTGAAAAAGACTGGCGATAGCTAATTTAGTTGAAACTCTTGATTAATGAGCTTCACTTCAAACATAAAAAACAAACAAACATGAAACCATCCCTAAAACATTAAAGTGACATCTTGGCATTTAACTTTTTTTTTTAGGTAGCCAAACATCTTTCCCTAAAGATGAATGAAGTTAATTTCTATGAGCCATTCATGGAGGAGCCGGCCATCGTGCCTGGAAGACCTCTATCCGAGATAGACATTGTTGAATATGTAACCCAGCACAGAAGGTTAATGTTATTTTTTTTTCAAGTTTTATTAAAAAAAACTTAAAATTTCAAGCATTTCTTTGTGTGAGATTTAATACAAATGTGCTTCTTACAGAGCTACTTTGAGGAAGCTCCGGGCTGAGAATATGTTTGAGACATGGGTGATTGTTTGGTCTTATCAGAGCAGATGGAAGCAGAAATTACATAGTATACAAGCACTTTCTTTAAATGTATTGAAGCCAACGTTGAATTCAAGCTACTAATTACTCTAAATCTTTAAATTTTTCCCATCTGTAGGAAGATGACATGGATGGAATACATATTGTTGCCTTTGCTGAGGAAGAAGATCCAGGTCTGCAGCTATTGTTTAACATTACACTTATTTATCTTGATTAGAAACTGGAGTTGAGTTCAGATAACTTTGTTGTCTCTTCCTTAGATGGCTATGAGTTCCTGGAAATCCTGAAAGATGTGGCCAGAGACAATACCAACAACCCAGAGCTGAGTATTGTCTGGATCGACCCTGATGACTTCCCTCTGGTTCCGTCTTCCTGTTTAACCAAATAGTTTTTAAAATGATCCCTTATAAACAATTTCTACACAGGAAAATTCTACCATTGTTTAAATGCAGAACATGTCTGAAGTTGGTTTATCTTGTCCTGACAGTTGACCACTTATTGGGAAAAAACCTTTAAGTTGGACCTGTTTAGACCCCAGATCGGTGTGGTCAATGTGACAGATGTAAGTAAAATATCAAACTCTAAGAAAACACCAAAATAAAGACTTTAAAGATGTTAAATGTTGTGGTTCTCTGTTTTCCAGGCAGATAGTGTCTGGCTGGACATGTCCAATGATGAGGACCTGCCCACTGCAGAGGAGCTGGAGGACTGGATAGAGGATGTCCTGTCAGGGAGAGTGAACACCGAGGACGACGATGAGTCCGCTGATGAGTCCGAAAACCCTGACAGCTACATCACGGAAGACAGCGATGAAATTCATGACCTAGATGAAGGAGATAATGACGATAACTACAATTGACCCTCAAAGCTTTATATCCGTGCAGATCAGACCTGAACTAGCTTGGAACATCAGAATATGAGATTGTAGACGAATTCACATGTCTCTCTTTTTTTCTAATGACTTTAAAAATGCTAAATGAAACAAATTCTAAAACATAGATGGTGTAGATGTTAGATGTTTTTGACTATGGTTGTAAAACCAAAGTAACAAGCTAAGAGATGCTAAGACATTCCATGAAGCTGACAGGAATTATTCAGTGAGGTGATACATTTTTGTGTGTTTCTGACTCATGACACATAGTGATTTGACCCGCATTTGTAAAAAACAACAACAAAAAATTATTTTTTAGCAACTTTAAGGTTTATGTGTCCAAGATAGCAATGGCAACTTCTGAGTGTATGCATGTCTGTGAAAATAAATGTCAACCATTAAAGCTCAAACTGTTTCTTGTGACTCACTGTGTTAATATTATTTTATAAATATAAGATTTGCCTCAAACATCCAAACACATGCATATCCTTCAAACTTGTGTGCTCTACCAGAGGCCTGGGAGCTTGAGGGTCCTGGTTTGGTCCAGCTGGTTAGCCATCATTAGTTTGTCTGTATCTGGAAGTTTCACAGGACGCAGTCATTCTTAACCACCCTAGGGGGCTTCTCCCATTTTTACAGATGTTTCTGTATATTTTGCTAACCACTTGGTTGCCTGTTAGCATCTTCCACCCTACTGTATCCTGTCTGAGCTGGATCTTCACACAGTCTGCACCTGGGTCTTGGTGTAGTAAACCCCAGCCTCTATCGATCTTGTGCTTAGAACTTGTTCCTGTGCTGACATGATTATTGCCTCTGTGCTGTTTTTCAGTCCCACTTTGTCCGGACATTGGTACATTTTTTGATATCAGCCATTTCTTCTCTCTGCTGGTGGTATATGTCCTGCAAGGGCCCATCCTTCCATGATGCTTCTTCTCCTTGACCAGTTGTGACCATCTTCCTGATGTACTCATGGATCTTTGTGTGGTTCTGACCCTTCTTCCTTCTGCTTAGCCTACAGTCTTAGGATGTTGGACTTGGGATGAAACCCTTCATGCGTGTCCTGTCCTGATGTCAGTGGCGTCTATTTCCTCCTTTGGGCTAGTTATTATCCCAGCAGGGCATAAGTGTTAATTGCCTGGATCTTGTTCTTCCCATTCAGCTGACTTCACTTACTCTCTGAGTGTGTATACATATATATATACACACACACACACACACACACACACACACACACGACATATAGTGATATACACTGTGCATCAAAAAAAATAATAAAAGTGAACCCTGTGAGTATCTTCATTCCCTTCTCACCCTCATTAAGGAAGTCCTTACTGATTCCCAGGACAGATCAGATTGGCACATTTTCTCAGCCAGTAAATGGGTGTTTCACCTTGAATTATTCAAACACTGGTAAATAATTCAGTATTGTTATGTCTCCTAATGGGAGTAGGGACCTGGACGCTGGAAGCTGGGGGAGGTCGGAGGTGAAAGAATCAGGGTGAGACAGGCTCAAATGCGGCACTCTGGGGTCCGACGAGCTGCATGAGGATTGGACAGAGTCCTGATGAAACTGTAAGTCTAGGCATGAATTAATAATACAAGGCCGTGCAGGACTCGTTATTCCCCTGGAGGAGGATGTGATGTAGTGTGTCAACAGGATGTTTGAATCATGATGGGGGATTTGCAGTTAATCTATGCCAGGTGATGAGAAACATTCAAGTGTGTGCGCATTTAAAACATGACCCTGGGGCAACTAGACATGTCATACTCTCTCGTGACGAGAAACAGCTAGTCATGGGATTGGTGTAAGTGTTGGATGCTGTGCGAGTGCTTTATGGTGACAAAGTCGCTGTGAATGTCAGATGTGATGGGGTGTTACATGAAGACTGACCAAATGAAGGACAAGATGGATTTCTCTCCTTTCTCCCAGGAGAGGAGGAATTACAAAATCACACTGACTAAGGTTCAATAAAAACAGCAAAGAACAAAGAAAAGACAGGAGTAAGATGAATTAAGGTGCAGATTTCTGTTCAAAATCAAAGCTACAAGAAGTAAGAGGGGATTTCCTCTCATGTCTCCATCTACACATAACCAAGCCATTACACAAAAGTGAGAGCGAGAGAAATGAAGGGAAGAAAACATTCCATTTAGATGCAAATGCTCCTCATTTTCCTCTCTACCAATGTCTCTTCCTTCTCACCCAGGTTCTGCAATGGAGCAGGTGGGTACGGGAGGGGGATTAAGCCAAGGACAGATGAGTTCCGACAGGCGGCCTTGCGCCCGGGGCTCACGGAGGGATGAGGTTGTTCGTTTTCAGCACTGGACAGCGACATTGACATTCATTTACCCACAAGGGCCGGCTGCGCCGCTCTGACAGGCTGACGGCAAGCCAATTACCGCTGAGCTCCATAACAACAAAAAGCCACCAAAATATGGCCAAAAAAGCTGATATTTTGTTCAGGCCTGTCACTAAGCACGGCCTGCCGCTTAATTTGCAACGACAGAAGAGAGTGTTAGCGAGCCTGCAGCCAGGGCAGCGAACGAGTGCATATGGAGATAGCGATGATGTGAACAGAAGACTTGTTAGTTTGTGAGAAATGGAGATAAGAAAGGAAAAAAGACTACAACTGGGAACATTTAAAAATGGATCGCCATGGTGTAGAGTTGGACAGCAGGCTGTGATTTGTTTCCTGGAAAAATCTAACCAAAAAAAAAAAGTTGGAGTGAGTGTGAACTGTGATGGCGTAATCCTGGGTTACCTCGACACGTCACAAACACTTAAGGTAATCCTGGAAGTAAAAAGAGCAGCCCAGTACTCAGCAGCTTTACAAATGTTCATAAAAATGATTTATTTTTTTCTACAAACGCTAACGCTGTGAGACCGAAACACATCTTACATTGCAACGTCACGTTCATTATCAGAAAACCGCCCATCAGAAACCAATCCTTGACAGAGGTCTGTAACTTGGCAACAGTGTGACAGATGGTGGAGGAGGGGGTCGGGTTGGGGCTGGTTGTGTGAACTGGAATGGCACACACACAAACACACACACGCTTACATAAATAGATAGAGTTTAAAAACAGGAGGCACCATCACATCAGGATCATACAAAGTTTATCTGTCAGTTGGTACAAAATCTGACCAATGACGTGTTTAAAATTGTGGACGTGTCACACAGAAAACAGCACGAATCTGACTTTTTTGCAGGTGTTTTAACATTTTGTTTACAGTGAAATAATTATAGTATAAAATTACCAGTAGTTTTTTTTTCTTTTTGTCTTAAAACATGCAGTGACAATGCTGTGTTGCATCACCAGGGGGCAGTAGGGGACAACCTTGCTCTCAGGCACAGCTATACTGCTTGCATGTCTTCTTGAGCGTGCTCAGTGCGACTCTTCTTTTTTTCGCCCTCTCTTTGGTGATTTTACCAGATCAGTTTCATCAGTTTCGACAGTAACAGAGGAACAGACACGTGTCATTTTAACTTCATTTAACTGTATTTTTCTGGCCTGCCGGTGTAAACCCAGTCAGCAGGCGAGAGAATCCCTTCTGAGCCTTCCATGAAAGGACTGACCTCGAGGGAATTGTCAGACAACAGGGGTGAGACGAGGCAGTAAAAGAAAACCAGACAGTCCAGTTGGGAAGGAGGTTCCGCCCTGCTGCTGCAGCTCTCACTGCTGATAAATACTCTGGTGATTTATCATCATACATAATGAAACCCTGTGAGCCCAGATGAAATCAGACTTTACATGTTGCTGTTTGTTTAAGCCAGTTGTTTAGTTGCTCATCTTGCAAATTAAGCATTAATGTCTGTTTTCACTTCACTACAGAGGAAGAAAATTGAACATTTTCTCTTGAATTTTCAAATTAAAAGCATTGCAGCAGGGGTAAGTTAAAGGTAAAAGGTGCATACTTGCACCACGTGTGCATACATATGTCAAAACCCAAACAAAACAAAGGAAACGTGGAGTGTTTGCAGACAGTAGTTTAGAAATAGGAGGGTCAGTGCTGTGAAAATGCACGCAATGGTAACTTAACTCCCACCTCATGCCAGGTGGGAGAGGTGTTACCTGTGACTTCAACCATTATTTGAAAACTGAGGTCTAAAGGAGAAGGTACACACAATGAATACATCTGCTTTGTAACCCAAAGTCTGGAGAAATCAGTAGTACTTTTTAATTCCAACATGATGGCTGGGTCTCTCTTTCCCGCTGCCTTCCCCTTCCATCACGTCAGGCAGATGTGGGCGACATGAAAGCCCTGAGAAGGTTACCGAACTGCTGAGGCGGGGCAAATGTTTTTGGGCACGTGTCCATCTCAGTGCGTCTCCTATTATCCGGTTCGTGCCGAGTTCACCCTGGTGTTCAAACACGGCACGCTTGCGTCGCTCCTGACTGGAGTGGAAATGTTTCAGATTTGTGCTCCGTTGCACCTGGAGAGGAACTGAAAACAACTCAAAGAGTCCCGACTTTGGCTGCTAAAATTAGCGCTCAAGGGCGTGGGCCGCACGCCACAGGATGGACACGGTGGAGTGTGACGTCTCAGCTGTCAGGAAAAAGTGTTTGTTTGAGGAGACTGTGCCTCTTCCTTTATGTGCAGACTGAGATCGTTCCCACTGTCATGTGAATTTAATGCTGAATCTGAAGTTGTTTCATTCTTGTATATATAAGTCCATTTCATTTTTTTTGGTGTCCAAAAATATTCAAATACTTCCAAGTGTACACAAAACAACAAAACAACACACTTTCCTCCTGTCGCTCGGTCCGTCTCATGGAAATCCAACACAAAAACTGCTCTCTGTGGAGATGTCAACCTTTAAATGCTCCTTGTTCCCATC